TAGTAGTAGAGTGTGAGTGTGTGTGTGTGTGTGTGTGTGTGTGTGTGTGTGTGTGTGTGTGTGTGTGTGTGTGTGTGTGTGTGTGTGTGTGTGTGTGTGTGTGTGTGTGTGTGCTCCTGACATAGTGATACTCACCCACAGTATCACATGGCTCGTCTTTATGAACGCAGAAATCTGTCCTGAAAGAGAAACAAGAGCAGTTTAGATCATCTTTAATACTTTACATCAGGGGTGGGGAAACTCAGGCCTCCGGGCCGTATACGGACCGCTAGACCATTTGGTGCGGCCCTCGAGGTAATTTATAAACACACGCAAAAAAGATTTTTCTTTTAGAAATCTAGACCGCAAAATAATTAAACAAGCAAGTGCCTGTTTTTCCTGGCCAAGGTCAGGGTCCTTGAACACAACACGACCCTAACATGTCATAACATGGTATATGTCTCGTCTGACTGGGGCCGTTTCTCAATCGCGAGGATGCTTGCTTGGTAGCACATGTCTTCCGAGTCACTTCCTTCAGAAGCTAGGCAAGAATCCTTCCTGGCATTCGGAAAACGAAGAGTGGAACAGGCCTAGCAAGTGTGCAGGTGTGAGTGTGCAGGTGTGCGTCATGTGAGAGGCCCCGCCTTACATTTTCCGCCACAGATTTGGGGAAATTGGTCCGTGCGCAAAGCATTGTGGGGATTTGAAGGACGCGAAGTCTACCCCTGTGCAGCCTCGAAATTACCCCCAAACCAAGGACGCGGCCTCGGTGGAATTCCAAGTATGCTGGAGATTGGAACAGTCCTTCGGCGGCACTCGATGACGTAGTATCCTTGAAATATTGGTTTGGAAGCCAGTTTCCTCGCGATTGAGAAACGGCCTCCTTGTTGTCCACTTTGTTTTATGGTTTAACATTTCACGCATGACCGCAATTGTAGAGATGCAGGAAATGCAAAAGCGAAAATGATAGTGATCAGTGAAATGAGACGATTAGTCACTGCAAACACTCAGTGTCACAACATATTGTCAAATGCAAACGGCAGATAAAGATAGTGGTCGAGCTTTTAAATATATCATGAATGGTCACTATTAAAAGGAAATTACTTTATAGCCCGAATTGGTTAAAATTGGCCCCTTTTTTAAAGCATCGCGTATCAGCTTTTTGTTCAACCTGCCACTGAATAGCCGCCATATGAATGCAAACTCACCATTAAGCTGTGCTCTCCATTCAGCCTGTGTTTATGCTAGGATCCCACTGTGCAGATGGCATTGAATTGCCACCATATAATGAAAGGTTAAAGGGGACTCCAGTTGTGGATAATTGTGACTGCCATGCAGTTACAGATGCTACAGGGACTTCTAGCTTATTCAAAGACTTTTTTATATTACATTGTTTTTAAAGATTTGGCCTCTCTCTAGCATTGAAAGATAGATTTAAATGTTTGGAATGTTTGAAATGACAGTATTTAGGTTATGTGGAAGATGTTTGCATGTGGCCTAAGAGCTCTTGATTTCAGGTCAGATGGCTGTAATTAAATAATGGATAAAAGATTGTGTTAGAAGACGATTAATGATTCAAGGCACTAAATAATGAATATATAGTGTGAAGGTAGAGCATTGACCTTGCAGCTCGTGGAAGCTCTCCTGGTGTTGGTTGGAGGTTTCTCTGGCGTCGTCCAGCTCCAGCAGCAGCTGCAGCACCTGGGCCCTCAGCTCCTCCAGCTCCTGCTCCTCCGTCAGCGGCTCCTGCTCCTTCATCTTCTCCTCCCCTTCGCCTTCCTCCTCCTTCAGCTTCTTCTCTTCCTCTTCCTGGTCCATCTCCTTCTTCTCGTTGTTCTCCTGCAGGATTCCTCTCTCCTTCGCTGTTATCTGGTTGTCCATGGTGGGGCTGCACTCTGCTTTCAGATCGCACGGGTCATCTGAAGAAAAGATGAGAGTGAAATTAGAAATGGGATTCATGATATTAAAAAGAGAGGGTGACAGGAAGAGAGATGACTAGGTGAAAAACCTCTTTGTCATCAACCTAAATAGATTCGAATACAGCACACGGTTTTCTTTTGGATCAACAGCACCATCTTGTGATCGTATCTTGCATTGAGTCTATTGTACACCAAACTCTATTGCACTCATATACCACAACTACACATAACGGTTTTAATATAGAAAAAATACTGACAACACTTCTTATCTTAGTTTTTTTATAGAAAGGGATAAAAAGAAATCAATCACGTTAGGAAGAATTTATCAAAAATATAAGCCTAAACTGTCTTGGCTCAAAACGTTTTGATACTACGTAGTTATAAATTGAGACCGTATCAATACATAATACCTGTTGATGACCACTGGTTACAGTTTTAAGACCAATCTGTTTTACATTGGTTTATCCGCTCATTGACTTAACATTTCTGACCAGTAGGTGGAGTGCGTAAACCGACCCAATGCGGAGAGAGAGAGAGGGGGGTGGGGGGGCGTTGTATGCTGAAGCAATCACTATGACTCACCACTCAGCAATGCACCTCCAAGTCCATAATAACACAAGCTAGTACGAGAGATATGACAAAAACACGTTTCTCTCTTGTATTACACCGTGTCAAATTTCATGGCTGTCTGCAGTTTTCTATTGTTTTCTTTTCTTTTGATTTTCCTCGTCCTCATCAACGTCCTGAAGAGAGTCTACAAAGCCCAATGAAACATTATGATGTATACTCGATTTGACATGATTAGAGCCGTTGGTTGCCAAGGCTGCAGAGATGAATGCAGAGCAGGTCAGAAAACGAGAAGGGAGGGCATCATTTGCAGCACAACAGCATGAGGGTAAATTCTCATTAGACGAGGCAGAAGAGTCTTTTCCCATTAGTTAGATGAGATTTGCTGCCAGGTGGGAAACGGCCAGAGCTTAAATGCATATTATATTCACAGTACCAGTTTGCTCTCAGGTGCAGTTAAAGGTTAAAAGATCATTTGTGTAACTGTTTCATCCCAGGACATTTAGCTTACATCTCACACTGGCCTGAGACCATTTCTCTCTTATTTCTCAATAACATGCCCTCCGGGGTCAAGTCCAATCTCAAAAATAAATTGATGTGCAGCATCTACTATTCATTTTCAAGTGGTCTCTGAACATTTATGTCTGTACTGTAAGCAGTATGTGGAAGGGAGAGGGGAATATTGTTTGCCGAGATGGGAATAGAGAGATGGGACAGGAAAAAAGTGCAGCAGGGGACTCAGCAAAGCATTAACTAAAGATCTATCTAATTAGAAGTGAAGCTCACCGGGGTAATCCTGGCTCAAGGGATGCTTGCATCTCTTGTGGTAATTATTTCTCTGCCTTGTTGTTCCCCTCACGAGATGTAACTATTTCCACCACAACCAAGCACGTATTTTGTAATCATATCTATAGCAATAGCAGCAGGCTGCATCCTTCCTGTCTCATAATAGTCCTCATTTAAACAATGCAGCCCCCCTAAGAGGCATGTGAGAGGTTTCAAGAGCACTAGGCTATTTTCTCATTAAACTTTGATGCTGGTGTAATGAGTTAGTCATAAAGAAAGGGAGCAGGAGAGAGGGGCCGGAGCTGCTTGTACAGCCAGCGGCGGCTAAAAGGCCATCAAGAGACAAAAAGCTCCCCACTGAATATCCCTTGCATCTGAATCTTTCCGGAAGTAATCATTCAGAAAGCTGGCTCTAACAATTTGTCCTTTGTTTTACATTTTGAATATGTAGCATTTAGACTGCATTTCGCTGATTAAAAATAAACTGAAATACAGGTTATAGTGCAAGGCTAGTTTAGTTTAGTGCACACTTTTTACCCGCTTCCTTTAGCTGCTGCTGAATTGTCTTGGACATCTGTTAATGACAAGCCACAAAGCCCATCTCTACTTTCTTTAACTTCCTCTGATGCAAATGTATAAGCTTCTGCCTCTCACCATATCATGCTGTGCCAATCATTAACTCTCTAAAACCTTCCTAGAGAGCCGTCCAGTGTTTCTTCTTGGCAACTCCCATCTGTGTGTTTATCACTTCAGTCCTTAAGGAAGCTTTATCGCCTCACCTTGTGAGTGAATGTCAAACACATTGTGCAGCAGAATTGTCTGCAATGACACCTGTGATCACTCCACAGCATACTTGGCTCAGTGCTGGTCTTTAGTCACGCAGGGATTGCATTAGACATGGACGCTTCTTGCATACAAGAGCGAGGGAGGCATCTCAGGAGCAGAGTTAACGCTCCAGGCAGACGATGGCTTTATCTGGCCTGCACATTCCTCCGTAATCACGTTGCAGCCAAACACTTTGAGTATGTCACTGCGAACATTGTGCCACTTTATAAAACAGACAACAAGCAGGGCTGTGTTGTCCATCAGCATTTCAGAAAATATGTCTGAGATTACATTTGAACAGTCATTTGGCAACACAGGCCTGTTGTTTTGCTTCTGATTTGGTTTTCGGAGATGAAGTGTGGAGTGTAATTATAATTGCACTTTGCCTAATTGAAGAGGACTGAGGACTTCTCCATAAAACACTTAGTGTGATTTTGCTGTCAGACTTTCAGTTCTGTGTATTAAAGGGGCCGTAATATGCTTACTTAGAGGTTCATAATTGTATTTTGTGCCTCAACTGTGACATGTTTACATGCTATAATCTTCAAAACGTGCTTTAATTTTCTCATACTTCCTATGCTGCAGCACCTCTTTTCACCCTCTGTCTGAAACCAGAGCCCAGTCTGCTCTGATTGGTTAGCTGGCCGGCTCTGTTGTGATTAGTCAACGGCTTAGAGATGTCCCGCCCCTTAGCCTATCACTTACAATGTGTTGGAGCGATTTTCGTCTTTGCAGCCCATTAACATGCACAAAAGCCTATATAACACACTAAAGGTAAAGGAAACCCAGAAGGCATAATAGAGCCTATTTAAATATGCAGCAAAAACTGAAATCCACTAAAACATTTCCTTATAACACTATAATAATAAAGAGTAGATGGCAGTATACCAAACCAGATATTTCTGAAAAAGAAAGATAAAAAACGTTATGCTTTATTTAATCAGGTGCGATGTCATTTCAAACGTGATATATTGCAAGAAAGCTTCTCTATGTAACAAGTGGCTTTCTTCCCCTGACTGCTGGTTATATTTCTCATTTCATTGTGGTGAGAGGAACATCTGGAGTCAAATCAGCTGTAAAAATAAATGACGGCTCACTGATCCAGGAGCTGGAGGCTGTGAGCAGGTGTAGTGTGATGGAGCCTCGTGCTGAACCAAGCTTGAACATGTTAGTGAAGAGAAATGTGGTGCTGGCAGTGTAAGAGGTGTGTGTGTGCAGCTTTTTGTGATTCTGTATAGGGCTGCACAATAACTTGAAATTCTATTCTCGCATTGTGGACTAATAGAATATCCTAATCGTAGTAAGCGCAATATTTTTTAAGGAAAAAATTTGCAAAAGTTATCTGAATAAAGTATTGTGGAGCCGACCTAAAAAAAATTCTACACATTTATTTAAAAAATCACATAATTTTGCGTAATTTTCGATGATAATGTGAATATTGTTTCATTCCCTCTTACATCGCACATCATATCGCAATTTTAAAAAATCAATATAAACACAAATAGTTATTTCTTTGAACCGTGCAGCCCTAACTCTGTGTATAAAATGTATGCATGAGTGTGTAATTGCACTTAAACCTGTGTGTGTATATGCAAAATGGTGATATGCAGGCTTGTGTTGTATTATCTCTTAGGCCCACTTGTGATGAGTCTATACTCATATATGATCACACGTGTTTAAGCTGCAGTCTGTGCATGTATGCCATGGAGCTCTGCAGCTGTGTAGGAGGCCATGCATAATGCACACCGCCCCAGCTTTGAAACCAGCCCAGCACTATGACGCTAGCTTGTTCCCTGCACTGGCACACTTCCTCAGCAACACATCATTTGGGGAAGGGAGGTAGGAGTCGGCAAATCACGGAGAGACTTTGCAAGAGCAAAGTAGGAGCAGAGGAGGAGAAAACAATAAGAGAGATGCAAGGAAGGAGGAGTTATGCAATGGCCTGGGAGATGCTCACTTCCTCATGAAACTAAAAGGAGTCAGGACACTAGTTTATCTCCATGGTGACCTCTGCACACCAACAACACAGGGATACACCATCTGGAAAGTCACCTTGACGATAAAGCTGTTTTGTGCACACTTTTGATTGGCATTTGTCTGCTAGTGCTTTTCCCCACAGAGAAGCCCTCGTGATCTTATCAGGTGTCGCTCCATAAAGCTCACTTCATAGTGAAGCCGGCATCATGTGATATTTTCTGACTCCAAACTGTGAGACTCAGCAGCTTCAGAAGAGGAGCGAGCCACAGGGATGGAGGTCTTTAATGAGGTCAATGCGAGTTTATCTCTTTCCCTCTGTCTCTGTAGTTTGAGCGTGAAAACTCCAGGGAAAGTGAGGAACAACTGCAGCCCGTGACGTCAAGAAAAGAAACGGGATCATAAGCACCAAAGAGTAGGACTGACTTAATGAACCACTTTGTTATTTAAATGAAAATCCATGTTTGCATTTTCAAAGGGAATAATAGAAAGTGGGTCAACAGAATAAAGAAATTGTAGAAAGAGATACTGTATAAATCAGCCTCATTACATGAACATGCACAAAGCGTGTCAGTGTGTAATTACTGCAGGTGACGGATTCAGGGAAGATGTTTCTTCATGGGCGTACGTGGTTGTGCCCTGTTTGTGTCTACATCTGCTTATTTTGCATTTAGGGATATGAAAGAGAACAAAACATGAAAACAAATGATATATTAACAAGCAATTGTTGCCTCCCACCTTAAATCTATCTCTGTGAAAGATTTTAAATTGGCCCTGTTTCAGGTTCATATTTGTATTTTGTTTCTCTTCTGTTACATGTTTCCATGCTTTAATGTTCAAAAAGCTCTTTATTTGTTCATACTGCCTGTACCTCTTTTCACCCTCTGTCTGAAAACCAGAGCCCGTCTGCTCTGATTGGTTTGCTGGCTGGCTCTGTTGTGATTGGTCAAACGCTAAGAGCTGTCTTGCCCCCTTAACCTATCACGTACAATGTGTTTGAGGGCTAGCCAATGGAAGTGCGAGTGTTACATAGTGATGTCAATATGTCGCAGAAGTAAACACAAGAGTCCAATGGAGGCGTATCAGGCAGCGGGGGTAGTGTGTGGGGGAGAAACTCCCTCTGGACGGAACATTGGGATTCTAGCCTTTGCAAACCATTTACATGCACAAAAACCTATAGGAAAGACTACAGGAAAGGGAAAACCCCAAAAAAGCAGGATAGGGCTCCTTTAAAACGAGGAGGAAAGACGGGGCACCACAGCTTGTCAGGTAGCGAATCCAAAAAGCATAAAGACTAATGGGGAGAGAGAGTGCACTAATGATAGGTTGTCAGTGCCAAGCCTTTTTGCAAGGGGGAATAAAAGTTTTTTAAATCAATAGCATAAGCTGCAGGAAGGAGTTATGAGTTCATGAACCTTATTTTTTCCCCTGAAAGTTTGAGAATTGTGTTCCATTATTCAACTTAGTGAGAATTAAAAAAACATGTGGCACACTCAATTATTTCAGGTACCTGCAGAGTGCATTGAAAGCTTGTTTTAAAAGGCTCTAAAGTCTGATGGGATAGGATGGTGCAGGCAGGGGGGAGGAAATGGGATGCCTGAGGGTGGAAAAACATGCAAGATTTGTTTTCATTTGATTTGCAATATTAAACAGTGATGTGAGAATCTCACATTGTTGTTTTTCTCAGAGGTCTTTGCAGCTCCCAGATCTACAAAGTTTGTTTACAGCAGCAACTTTGCTATGTATTAGATTTAAAGAGCTGAGATAAACCCTGTTTGGCCACCCTTTGGGAATATTGCTGATGATGTGCATTTCACAAGGTGAGAGTACAACACTGGAGAGGAGTGGAGGGAAAAGTCGGAGAGGACAGGAGAGAAACGATGTGTGGGTTGAGGCACTGGCAGGTGCAAAGGTTTGTGTCTCTATGCCTGTGTGTGCACGTGAGTGTGTTGGAGGGTGTGTGGGCGCTGAAGAGAGCAGAGGACTCCGATGGAAAGAGGGGGAAGAGATATTGTGTAGGACAGCAGAGGAGAGAGAAGGATGGAGGGAGATATGCTCGGTGACTGGTGCAAGTGGGAGGAACAATATGGTGGCCGACGGCTGAGATCAGCTGCTAATGGTGTTTTATTGATCAGTGGGAGCGTGTGTTTGTGTAAAAGTATCTGTATTCCCTGTTGGTAGATGTGGAAAGTGGTAGAAGCATTAATTCCAGGGTAGTATGGAACAACGTCCCAACAGGGCTGAAAATGCATTTCAAATAAAAGTGTCAGATTGATTGACCTGATCCAGGACAAAATGAATGCACTTAGATCCATTCAAATCCCAGGGTGTATGAACTTCAAAAAGACATGAGTTTATACCTTCCATCACCCAAATCCACTTTTTCTTTGCTGTTTGTCTATCGTTATTGTAATCAGGATTTACACTCCATTAAACGACACACTTGCCATCACTAGATGCTGAATTTCTGAAAAGAATGCCTCAGGCTGTGATGAAAGGAAAGTGGTCTCCAGAGTTTAGACGGCAGGAACAAGCTTGTTAGGAAAGAAGCTTTTCTCCTGAGACAGCATCAAATGCTATGATGGTCAATACGCAGGCATCAGCATAATGTTAAAAGAAAAGAAATTACACGCTAACAACAAAGCAGTGTAGTAAGTTTACAGCTGACTCTGAAGAGCAGGGGGGCTTTGAGAGATAATTCTTCCCATGCTTGTTATTGAAAGTTCAGTTTTAGGACAGTATACGCAGGAAAAGGAAGCAACATGGCCGCCAGTCAGAGGGCTGTGACCTGTGGTTCTCTCTGAGCCCCTCCACACCGACAAACATCCTCCCAACAGGAGGGTCCCGCACAGAGCTGCTCTGTCTTCACGCCCATACAAAACATGAAGAAAACACACTCCTTGTTGTCGGACACATATGAAAACATTCCACACGTTCTTAACTGATTCTGTGAAAATGTACTGTGCCCAATGCCACACATTCATAAAGTTACCAAACAAGCTCAACAGCAGCTGTCAAACCCAACCATTATGTAAAGTGAGTCCACCACAAGCATACATACACGGTGAGCTGAAAACAACCTTAGCATAAAAAGAAGCTTAATAACATCCAGACTCCATCCATTGTCATCATCATCAAGTTTAAAAAAAAAATACAAATACAATCATAAGACATAATGGAGACATGTGAAATGGGACGCCCAATAAGCTGTAGGAAGCTTGAGAACAGGGGCCCAGACAACAAATATAATGTATTTACATTATATATCATTGATACAGAATTGAGAGAGTTTGTGTATTATTCACAACATTACAACCCCAAAACATACCCCATACTAACCCAAAACCCTATAAAAAGGAAACTACTGTAACCCTAACTACTAAATGGTCTAATATTTAATTAATCAATCTCAGAATAACACATGCAGCCCCTCTAACACAGCCTTGACTAACATGTCTCTGGGTGCCAGTCCTCTATATTTACCTGGCAGCACGTTGCCTCCATCAAAGGTCCACAGCTGACAGAAATGCAGTGTATCAGCTCGGCACAGATCCTAATAAAGACAGTCTCCTATAATAATATCCCCACTTCCTACCAGCTGACCAGCTCTCTGCAGCTCCTCAGCTCACACTATCCCTCGCTTTGGGAGTAAACACTCTTTCTCAGCAGAGATAAACATCGACCCCTCTACCTTTTCCTGCTTATCTGTAGTACGGGTGCTAAAAATAGCCACATCATCACGATTAAACACACACATACACACACTGACAAACAGCTGAACAGACCTGTAGAGTCCAGAGCCTCCTCGATGAGTGGAGGTAAACGCAGTCCATCCATAGCCCCCTGTAGCTGCAGCGGAGAGGGGGAGACTCGGGAGAGAGTGGGCGAGAGAGGGTCAAGAGGCTCCACACGCCCACCTCAGCTGCAGGGAGAGAGAGAGAGGCAGAAACACACGGAAAGTACTGAGCACTAGTACTCGCCACTCACACACACATGCAGGCTACGATGCACATATGCACACTCACACAGAAAGAGGCTGAACCTCCGGAGAGTTTGGGAGGGTCCGGGGAGCTGAAGGCTGAGCGCTCTGCAGCGTGGGAGAGATACCGAGAGGGAAGAGGGAAGAGGGGAGGGAGCAGGGAGGAGCAGGGAGGAGGGGGATGCTGTTTTCCAGACGGCAAGCTCTCCCTCTCTCCCCCCTCTCTCCCTCAATATATTCCCTCTTTTACCCCAGCTATTTTAAATCCACAGTGGTGGAAATGTGACCAAGTACATTTACACAAGTACTGCTTAAGTATCAATTTGAGGTACTTGTACTTTTCTTGAGTATTTCCATTTTCTGCCAATTTATACTTTTACTCCATCACAGAGGGAAATACTGTACTTGTTTACCCTTCATTTATTTGCCATTTCTAGTTAGTAGTTACTTTATAAGTAACAAGTAACATGATGTCTATATGATGTATACACTACTGATCAACTCGGTAGAACACAAAGTATCCAAAATGTGCTTTACATTGACAAATTACAAGATGATGTATTTATTTTTTAGTGATACTGAAAATAATTGTATAACATTTTATAATAATACAACACTTTTAAAAGTGCTATTCTGCGCAACAAAAATACTTGCATAGATGCACATCAAAAATGTGTTAGATTTCATCTGAGTACTTTCTTTTTGATATAGTTTCTGAATCTTTTCCAAAAATCTAAATATATATGGCGGTATATCCTGGACTTTCCCTTTGATACATTAGACCTTGTTAAATAATTGCAAGATCGATCCACCGGTGTGAAATAGTTGGCAAGAATAGCTGATCTCCAGCGAATGGCAATGCATTCAGCTGCCAAATGCTGAACCCATACATATTTCATAATGCAAATTCAAACTGGCTTGTCTAGTTCCAATAAACTAAGTTGACGTTTTGAATATACCCTAATACAAACAGCTTTCAAGAAGAGCTGACAGGATCACAGCACCAAAACATTTCAAAACTCTGTCTTTGCTTCGTAGCATTTATTCATCTGTGCTTTCTTGCACATACTCACATTAACACACACATGCTTCCTCTTACCCTCCTGTACAGCCTTTGCCCCTAAGCCAGATGAATGTACCTATAATGAGGTCCAGACAGGCTGTTGCTGTGGAGGCTGACAGCTACCAGCAGATTACTGATCATTTCCCCTCCATTGTTCATTTCCTCTCTTTCTCTTTCTGTTGACTGCTTATAAACAGTTGCTCTTCCTCTATAAACAGCATCTCAAACATACATACTCATACCTCTATTTTCATCACTTCCCTTTACACACACATCTCTTTCTCTCTCTGACTGTCTCTCACCTCTTTCTCACTCTTTCTTCAGCCGCTATCACATCTGGCAACTTCAGTGCAGAACGTAAGGAGCCAGAAATGTGAGGTGTGCTGTGAAACAGTCTGAAAACTGTCAGCTTAGAGAGAGAGAGGAAAGGAGGGTCATGCTTTCCCGTTCGCTGGCCCAGTAGGAGGATATTCCTATCACAGCACTGTCAAAGAGCAGGAAGTGCACACAGACGCACAAACAACACAGTCAAACACATATGGAACCTGCCGACATCTGAAAGAGGAAATGTAAGAAAAAAACAGAAGTAAGTGCAACGGAAATAGAAAGACGGTCTACATGTGGTTGTGTACAAGAATAAATGATAAAGGGGAACCAGACTGAAAAGATAAATGTCCGCTCATAGGCACTTCCTCTACTTCCGGGTGGTTCTGCACAGCTTTCCTCAGGCAGCCATGACAAGAAGATAAAGCATGCGAGCATCTTTCAAAGTTGTCCCACAAAAAGTCTCTCTGACACACAAAGGAAGGGAGAGCTGTTTGCTGACAAGATGTTGATAAGGAGTTGACAATGTCTGGCTTCAGTCCACCGTGTCACAGACTGTGGCAGGAGCCTGGTGGCAGAGCAGAACGAGCACAGCAGGAATGCAGATACAAGATTAAACCCTGGTCCATCACTAAAATGATTCTCACTGCTTGTTCCAAACTGCTTGCTGAACCAGATGGGTGGGATGGAAGTCTATCTGCCAAAACACACTGAGATGATTGTTGAATGGCTGGACTGTTGGAAGCTATGAGACAGTCACATTTTTCTACAGCAACCTCACCCAAAGTTTTTAATTTTGCAAAAGTACAGTATATCCAAGTGCCATACGCCAAATGTCTGTGAGTGTTTGCTCTGTAACAGAGCTCTGTCCCGCCGAGTGTGAGGTCATGCACAGGGAATCCATCCGCTCATAATGTCGTCTTTGTTTTCATTTAACAAGTCATACGCAAGACGCCCTCAGAAATGGAGCCTGTAATTGAAAAGAAACGCAAATGGACGCACACAGACGCAAAAACACACAAAGGGCCAACAGTTTCTTATCTGCAATTGTAACGTTTTACATTCTACATGCTGCACTCATGTCATTTTGAGTGGAATGATGGTTTCAATGGGAGTGTTTAAAAAGGATTTGCACAAAAATGTGCATCATGAATGATTAGGCGTGCAATTCTTGTGTCTGAGCCGTGACTCCAGGGATGGTGAGGTCAGTTTGTGGGCTGGTCTTTAACTTTGGCCTAGATTGAAATGACTCAACTATTGGATCTATTGCTATGAAATGTCGTAATGACATTCAGGAGGATGAATTACATTACATGACATGTCACTTGTTAGACGCTTTTATCCAAAGTGACTTACATACTAAATACTGTGGACAATCCCCACAGGAGCAACTTGAGGTGAAGTGTCTTGCCCAGGGACACAACGACATGCTGACTGCAGTGGGTTTGAACCTGCACCACACGCCTCCCTATGAATCTTTTTCCTGTGGATTTTTTTGACAGATATTAAGGGTGCCCAAGAGCTTTGACTTTAAATCTCCCACCATCATCAGGTAAAATTGTCAATGTGTCCAATACTTGGATATAAGCAAAGCTCTGCCAAACTAATCAGAATCAGAATCAGAATACCTTTATTAGTCCCACAGAGAGGAAATGTACGTTGTTACAGCAGAAAAAGAGCCACAGTAATGTTACATAATGTTACATGCATTAAAAAGTACTTAGTTAAAAAAAAAGAGTTATAATATAATAAAAAATATAATAAAAAGTTAAACAATTTACAAAATACACATCATGTAACAGTTCTTAGGATTGAATGACATTGCCATCAGCTTCAACTGTTTTGTCTTCAGCGTTTAGCATGGCTGCAGACTCTTTAAAATCTGAGAAATCAGACTGACTATTTTCCTCTTGAGTAAGTGTTTAGGATTAGAGGAAAAACCATTAAGACAACATTCGGACAAACATCATATCAACATCAGAGCACATATGTACATTCGAAGTGTATCTCCCAACTGGGTAAAGATGGCAACTACCTGAAGACTCCTAATGCCCATGTTTGGTTTGTTTGTGTTTACATGGAGCTTAGTCCTATCGGAAAGCTAGGTTGTTAGTAAACCTGGAACAGGTTGTACTTGTTGTTAACTCAGTCTCCAGCTGCAGTGTGCTCCTAATAGGACTTTGGAGATGATGGATTCATTGCACACGGAGCAGAGGGAGCAGGAGGTGGGGGAAATGGGCCAAAAAGCTAATTTTTGTATCAGGGCCCCAGAGTGTTTTAATCAAGTAGACACTAACCATATGGCATTCAGACTTTAATTAGACTTCATGGACATTGATGGATAGAGCAGAATGAAACTATTATTTCCCAAACAAGCAAATGTTTCATTCTAAGGGCAAAAGTGCCAGATGTTGTTATTTTACCTTTAAGAACTGATTATGATGTCCGTCCAGTGTCAGTGGTCACACAGCACAAGCCGCACTACAGCCATTGGGCCAACATAATTAGCTGGTGGATGCACCAGAGGGATGAGCAGGGTGTCTAATTACTCTCTAGTGACGGTGTATCATTGTCACTGTCAGCTATGTAACCTCAGAGCTGTAAAAGACAGTGATTCACCCCCACAGTCGTCTCTACACCACCGGGCTGCCAGCCTTTAACTCCCAGCATCACTGTGGCACTCTACGGTTGCCTAGCAACTAAAATAAACTGAAGGTGCCTTTGATTTAGGGCATTTTAAAAGGTGATTTATACGAAGACCTTGATGATAAATGTTGCCATGAATCAGGAATTTCCCACCGGCTGATTCTCAGTATTCATCACTGCAGTCTCTGGTCACAGCTGCAGATCTCACAGAGGAATGAGACTGTGGCTGTTTGCTCGATGCAGGGCACATTTTTATGTTATAGTGCAAAAGCAGAGCAAGGGAATATGGCCTGTTTCCATGACACCATCAACAGGAAATGGGATGGGCCCCGTGCTGCCAGAGGAGGGTAAATCAGCGTGGAAGAGAGGTCACAACTTTCCCATAATATCAAATCATGCGGGACTAAAACCAGTGCTCTAATGTATTGAAGGAAGTTTACTCAAGTATATTACCAAAGTACAATTCTGGGTATACCTTACTGAGTATTGTTTTCTCGTGCTACTTTATTCTTATGCTCCACTACCATTTAGAAGCCAATATTGTGCTTTTAATTCCACTACATGTATTTAACAAAATGAGTTACTGGCTAATTTACAGATTCAGATAATTAGCTAATGCAAAATATGAATAAACTATGAAATATAAATATAGGTAAAGACACCCAGCAGTAGTATTTAAATTAATTAAAAGCAGCTCCACATTTACCCGCTTTTAAGAACACATTAATATATCAAAGATATTAACCCAGTAATTTAATATACATGATTCTGAATTGAGCTATTGTGCACAATAAGTACTTTTACTTTTGATACTTTAAGTACATTTCGTTGCCAGTACTTTTGTGCTTTTACTAAATTAAGATTTGAAATGCAGGACTTTGACATGTAGATGAGTATTTTCACACTGTAGTTCCTCTTAGTACAATATCTGTGTTCTTCTTCCACCCCTGAGTAAAACACACTCACATTATGTATTCATTTATAAACACACACTTACAACTAAAATGTTCACCATCCATGCTTAAAGCTAAATGATATCCGCACACTTCCCACTCTCTCGCTCGGCTTAAGGGGAGAATAAAATCAAACGTGTCCCTCTCACTCCCCCTCAGTAAAGGAGATTGGGAGTGAAGCTGTGGTGGTGCTTTT